TTCTTTATCCATGTATCCGTCTTTATCAGGCTTCAATCTCCCGATCCACTCTCAAGAGAGGGGTAGGGCTCTATTTATGGAGTTCTGGTTGCAATTAAAAAAAAAATCGAACCATTCTGATCGGACGACCCTAAGAGATACCATGATTGGATGATGTTTGATAGACATTTGAGTGTCTTATCAAAATTGAGCAATCTTGAGCTCGTTGGATTCATCTTGTCGAGACGCTTGATTCGACTATGAGCTCTCCAGATTTGGAATCTGTTTGACCTTCCAAAACTGCCCAGAAAGCTTCAAAAATTGGTTTGATGGCTTAATCGGGGCTTGATTTGGCTTGGGTTGCACCAATTTTGGTTCCATTGAGTCTGTCTCGTCAAGCCGATCAGTTTGACTTTAAGTTTGCTGAAATCGAAACTTAAATATTTTTTGCTCAATTGATTGCTTTGATAACCGTATCATTCCCCAAGATTCGTGTCGGGTGATAGAAATTATTTGATCACGTTTCACTACTTAAATTGTCTTAGTGTATGCAAAACAATTCTATTTATGACCGCATTGTGTCCATCTATTTGTCGATGAAAGTTTGTATTTATTTTCAGAATAATATCCATCATGACCAATTTCTTGATTTCCAAAAGCCATTGAGAAAGCGGATTTTGTCCTAGGTGATTGAATCCAAAATATAGCGTCAACACTTTTGAAAAAGGAGATGTGTTACTTTTTGGACAGTGATGCTCTCCCTACAAGCCATAAGCACTATCATCTTCAAAAACTTGTCTGCTACAATAACAATATACTCGCGAACTCTAAAAGTCGATAATGTCCCATCCGGAGATACTCTTATATGGCCAGGTCAGCATAGTAGAGGAGTTTATAATCTGAGTGTGGAATCTTTATTTTAAAGGCTTTGAGGTATAATAAAATATACATCCCAAATACAAAATTTTGCTAAATCAAGGGGCGTACTTAGCCAATATATGTTTCTCTGTAGGTTTTGAAGTGCCTTTGTCAACCTAAAGTGTTTGATTACCTTTCATGTGGCATTCTTCTAATCCAGTTTACTCTATCACCATCTTTAGGCATAAAAATTTGCCTCACCTATTAATCTGTATACCCATTGTGACAAGAAGGTTGCTAATGCACCATCACATACAAAGGCATGAAATCAAATCCACCATCTTATTTTGCTCTAGGGTCCTGTTTGGGGTGGCTGTTTCTCTGCTTCCCCTTTTGTAAAGCACTTGAGTGTGCATTTGGGGAGCTTTGTTTGCATGGCTTCTGTGAAAATCACGTTGCCATAGTCATGGTTTCTGGAACCGGGTGGAGGACCTAAGTTCCGTGGTCTCGTCCACGGCTTGAATTAAGTTTTACCTTGCTTCCCTCACTCAAATCAAGTATTTACCTGCATTATCCGCGATTTATCCCCATCCCTATGCAATCTTATCTTCCATCGCTTTTGCTGTTCAAGGTTTCCTTTCATGTCACATGTAGAAACTCCTTCCCGTATGTATTGTTGCCTTCGATTATCATGTATGTATCTCAGCGATTCTTTTTTATACGTGTAGGGTTTATTAGATATGCGTTTTTGCATTCTCCTCATGGGATTTTTGGAATGTGATCATCTATTAGCTCGAATCAGTTTATTTTCCTGACTGTTTTGAGTGCATTCCATGTTGTCCTTGGAATTTTTGAATCGATTCGTTTTGAAATTTTTTGGATTTGCTCTGTTTTCGGTGGGAGTTATGTGATTTTGGTTAAATTTGTATTTCATTTTGTATGCGTAAAGATGAAAGTTTAGGTGTGAGATCTGTAAAATCTTAAGAATTGTTGGTATACATGTAAGCGTGTGTTGTGATATTTGTTATATGTGAATACATAAGAGTTTTGTGCTATGTATATAAATGCATGAGATCTGAGTTGTTTTACTGCTATGATTTCGGTGGGATAAACATAAGAGTTTTGTGCGATCCATAAGGTAATTATAGTCTCTCTTTTTTAGAAACAGTTAACAGCATAACAAGTTATCCAAACAGAAAGACTGCTACACCATCAACAGCTTTCTTAGAGCAACTTCACCATGAAGCAGCTCACAGCTGCTTCAAAAACAGCAGCTCCTAAACAGCATAGATCAATTTAGTATTTTGGCATCGAGAGCACATTTCCTCACAAGCTCAGCCACACTCAACTAAAGTTATTCGATCAAACAATGTAGCCCACCCCTTCGCATTTCCTTATTTCACCGCTTGTGCTTAGGAGGTTCGCAAACAATTAAGACTAGGAGACGATAAAATACCGAGCATAGATAGAGCGGCCATGAAATGCACGGAGACCAATGAAATCAGTTGTAGCCGGCTGTAGAGCTCATTCCATTCAATTTTTATAGCTCTCTTTTCTTTTTTCATCTTATCTTTGTTTCTCTTGCAATTAGCTCGTTGTTTCTGCAGATCTCAATAGGGAGGCCTTTACTAGAAGATTGGCTGTAGTTTTATGCTTTCAGGGTTTATCTATAATCCATATCGAATATTGGAACTAATTATGAGAGTAAACCTTAAATTATCATATTTTTTTAATTGTTCTATGTAACTCATTTTAGATATCGACATTTCCATGATTGATTACTTTAGAGTTTAATTTGAATTTGAATCATAGAGATTCTTTGTACAGGAAATAAATCCTTCTAGATCCTCCTTGAAATGTTTTCTCGTTGATTATTTGTCTTAACTGTCACTGTATGAATCATTTTTATTAATGTTGGTGAGGGGATTAAACCTATATATGATGATTCATGAGTATTTTTATAGGAACTTTATCAATTATATTCAGGTATCATAGAGATTCTTTGTACAGGAAATAAATCCTTCTTGAAATGTTTTCTTGAAATGTTTTCTCGTTGATTATTTGTCTCAACTGTCATTGTATGAATCATGTTTATTAATGTTGGTGAGGAGATTAAACTTATCTATGATGATTCATGAGTATTTTTATAGGAAATTTATCAATTATATTCAGGTCATTATATTCAGGTAGATTGGAATAATATCAAGTAATCTATTGATCAAAGCGAACTTCATCTAATTAAGATTTTATTGATGCAATACCACATCTTTTTGTGCAACTTTCTCCGATTTTTTTTCATAATTTTGTAGCTCTTTGCTTCAAGTTTCAAGTTTCATAATCTTATTAGCAGTTATTATGGGGCTTGAGATTTTAGCTCAAAGATCAAAGATTAAAATTAATTCCTCAAATATTGCTCAAATATTAAATCAATTTTTGGCTTGAATCAAGTTAAATGGGTTGAGCTACGAGCCAAATTTTGTACTTGTTTAAAACTTTGAGTTGATTCCTCAAATATTGCTCAAATATTAAATCAATTTTTGGGTTGAATCAAGTTAAATGGGCTGAGCTACGAGCCAAATTTTGTACTTGTTTAAGACTTTGAGTTGATCTCTAGGTAGGTCTTAATTTGATCAAGTCAATTCGAGATATATATATATATATATATATACTTTTGAAGTTCTATATATCATTGATTTTCTAATTTTTTTTTTAATAAGGAGAAATAAATCATTTTGAGCTGACTCGAAATCAACGAGCCAACTTATAAAATTTTGAGTTGATTTTAAGATGGCACCGGAGGCGAAGATCAAATCATCGTCATCCATAATGAGGCTTTCTCTGATTTCTCTTACAATTTATGATAAAATAGTTGCTTTTTTTCATCAATTAATGACACGGCAAGATTGTATGCCCTTCCGTTACTCCTTCAATTCAGTCCTTCCTATGTTTTTCTTTCCTTCAACTTATTGACATCATAAGATTTTAGTCCTTTTGTTGATTTCTTTTCGTGTAACATGCATTTATTAAGATAATGTAATCTATGTATTTGTTGTGCTTCTATGCTTGGTGTTTTATGAGGATTATAAGTAGTTTTTCTAAGATGTGCAAAGAATGTGATTTCATGACTAATAAAATATTAGTTTTTGATGTGCATGATACTCTTTTCCTTTTCAAGGTTTTGTCACTTGATTTGAAGATAATTTCATCTTTTCTCCTAATAATTTTTTTTTATTTTTGCTTGAAAATGTGATTAGATTTTGTGAAGTCTTCTACAAGTTTGTCATCTTTCTTTGACATGAAATTTCAATTGTTTGTGTTGCTTTCATTATCTTTTGCTTTCTTGTAAATAACTCTTAATAACAAAAATTCTTTCCTCTAAATTTGATTTTTCCATTTTTAGACTTTTAGCTTTTGTCTCTAATATTAACAATTTCTCTTGTAAAAAATGCATGTAATCTTAGACCTTAAAGCATCTACATATCATTGACATCAAGAAATTTGTGTGATGAAGATCCATCTTTTGATATTTGGAATAAAGCATGTAGAAATGGCAATGATGATGCATTCACTTGATTGTTGATGGCTTTAATGAACTTTTTTCCTTTATAGATTATTATTATTGTCAGCTTTTTCTCTCATTTATTTGAGTTAAATTAAAGAAAAAACAAGGGAATTGTAAAATATACTTCAAACATTTTGTAGTGAATTTTTCTATTACTAGCTACGAGTGAAATTTGGATTAATGAAATAGTTTTAAATATAGATAGCTTAGTGACATTTAGAGCATGTAACATATTTTATTGGCTATATGTGTTGTCTTTTTTGTATTTTTGTAAAAAAACTTGGTCATCAAAGTACAAGCATAAGCTTTCATATATCCAATAACTTGGATAAAAATAATATATTTACATTATCTCAAACTTTATATACAAATATAATGCTCTTGCGCCATTTAATACATTTATGATTGTGCATATGGTATAATAATAATAATAATAATAATAAGATTTTCAAAAAAAAAAAAAGGACATGAAATGAGGACTAATTTGTAAAATGACCTCATGTGAATAATCAGAGCATTATTCTGACAATTAAATCGAAAATTGCAAGTTTCAGAGATCCAAATGTAAAGCAACACAGCTACAAAAAAGAAACAGGTAATCTGAATAAACTAAACAATACATTAAACATCAATAAAACTTCAAATAATCCAAACTGGAAGAATTCATGCACAAAAAACCTCACAATGAACCAAAAAAACAAGCTGACAACATGGAAAAAACAGATAGCACAGAGAGCAGCAAAGCAAGTTAAACAACTAGGATCAAGCCCAACTAGAAGAACACATACCATACCAAACCAACTCATTATTCCTCCCCTTCCTCTCCGTCTTCATCAAAACCCTCCGCTCCGACTTCTTCGTAGTCTTTCTCGAGGGCAGCGAGATCCTCCCTTGCCTCCGAGAACTCGCCTTCTTCCATTCCTTCCCCGACGTACCAATGCACGAATGCCCGCTTAGCGTACATGAGATCGAACTTGTGATCGATGCGAGAGAACACCTCGGCGACGGCGGTGTTGTTACTAATCATGCACACGGCACGCTGCACCCTGGCGAGGTCGCCTCCTGGGACAACTGAAGGAGGTTGATAGTTGATTCCACACTTGAAACCAGTTGGGCACCTGCAGGTTATGTTGTGCAAACCTGCAGGGTTATGTTGTGCAAACCCTTAGTTTGATGAGTTTTCACCCATCGACAGTTTTGATTTCAAAACATTATATGAAGATTTGCATATATACCCCCACACCTTAGTTTGATGAGTTTTCACCCATCGACAGTTTTAATTTCAAAACATTATATGAAGATTTGCATATATATACCCCCACACAATTCCCATGTATTTACATATCTAACACCTGAACTTAAATTTTTTACATGCATAACACCTTACCTAGGCATGAAAAGGTGCCTTCCACTTTTTAGAAGTTAAAATGGTGGTATTTTTGATGTGATATGAGAAATGAAAATTTTGGGTATGTTAGATATGCAAATACATTGGAATTGAGTGGTATGCATGGAAATGCCCTAACATTATAACAAAAGATATTTCTTAAGGCTGAAAAAATTTCCTACAAAACTCATTTGTTAAGAAATCAAACCTAACAAAAACAACATTTCCATTTCATTTGCTAAATTATTCTAATATTAATATTAATAAGAACAAACTAAATTATGCTACACTCAATAAAATTCTTTCTTATTTATGTTTTTCTGGCATTAAGGAGCATTGAATAAACTCTAAAACTAATGAATGAAACATTCTAAATCCTATGATGCTTATAAGGTGTTGTTTTATTATGAGAATCATAACCTTGTAATCATGTAGCCCTAAAATTATTGACGTATTGGATGATCATAGTTTATCATTCGAGTTTGGGCGATAAAATAAGGGCCAAACACGAAAAAGATTTTCCATCTCCTTAACAAAGTCGAACTTCTAATATTCAATATGTTAGCTAATTAACAAACCGATTCAAACAAGATCGAAGGAATTCCAAATTCAACAAACATAACACCCTTACTCACCAATCGACAAATTGAACCGTCCTCTTCGTTTTGATTGTTGCAACAGCAGCATTAACATCCTTAGGAACCACATCTCCGCGATACATTAGACAGCAAGCCATGTACTTCCCATGCCTCGGATCACACTTCGCCATCATGCTCGATGGTTCAAAAACTGCATTCGTGATTTCAGGAACGGAAAGCTGCTCATGGTATGCTTTCTCAGCAGAGATGACGGGTGCATACGAGGAGAGCATGAAATGGATTCTTGGATAGGGAACGAGGTTGGTCTGGAACTCAGTAATATCGACATTAATGGCTCCGTCGAACCTAAGAGATGTGGTCAAGGATGAAATGATCTGAGAAATCAAACGGTTGAGGTTGGTGTACGTCGGCCTCTCGATATCCAGAGATCGCCGGCAGATGTCATAGATGGCCTCATTGTCGAGAAGGACGGCAACGTCAGTGTGTTCCAGTAAGGAGTGTGTGGATAGCACACTGTTATATGGCTCTACAACTGCTGTGGAAACCTGCATGGTAAATAGAAAATTTAGGAGGCATCTTCGTAGGCATAAGATTGGATTATGGGTTAGTTCACCTCTACTATTAATGATTTAAGCAGATGTCAACTATTTGATTTCTTCAAATTTTTAAGGGTTTACATACATACCATACAATTCTTATGTATTTACATAGCTAACACCGACAATTTAATATTTACACTTATAACACTTTAGTGTCATAAACCTATACTTGAAAAGGTGTACTTTACTATTCAAAATATAATAATGGTGGCATTTTTAATGTGATGTTAAAGATTTGTGGTATTCATGTAAATATAAATGTTTAGGTGTTAGATAGTTAAAGCCGTGAGAAGTGAGTGATATGCATGTAAATCCCCAATTTTAGTGTCATAAACCTATACTTGAAAAGGTGTACTTCACTATTTAAAATATAATAATGGTGGCATTTTTGATGTGATGTTAAAGATTTGTGTGGTATTCATGTAAATATAAATGTTTAGGTGCTAGATAGTTAAAGCCGTGAGAAGTGAGTGGTATGCATGTAAATCTCCAAACTCTTAAAATATTTTCATAAATGAAATTCATTTTTCATTTTGATAAATGTCAGCTATATATGTCAATCTATCTGATGATCAAAAGAGCTACAGCTACAAGAATGATTATAATCAATACTGAACAACACATTTCATTTGAAAATTGAAAAATAGCATTATAATCAAAATAATATTCTTATAATATAATATTAAACCAAACAGGCCCTGAGGGCTAGTGGGCTTCAATCACAGTCTAATAAACAAAATGATACAAAAGGAGCATCTTTAAGTCATAAAAAAGAAATTAAAAATCAACATAATACCAAAACCAAGTCAAATAAATGGCCTGGCTTATGGTCCCTGCGGGGAAGAATAGATAGTAAAGCCGAGTTTTGATTTCTTTCCATAATCCACAGATAACCTCTCCAACAACAACGAACCCAATCCAGATCCAGTGCCACCACCGACAGCACTGAAAACAAGAAATCCCTGCAATCCAGTGCAATTGTCCGCTAACTTTCTAACCCGATCGAGGCACAGATCAACAATCTCCTTCCCAACTGCATTTCATATATTAAAAACAGAATATTACTGAGCCATCAAACACAAATGATCTCTTACTTATTAAAAGAAATCGAGTAAAGGTTTAATACTCGTATAATGTCCACGAGCAAAATTGTTTGCGGCGTCTTCCTTCCCGGAGATGAGCTGCTCCGGGTGGAAGAGTTGTCGATAAGCACCAGTCCTCACCTCATCGATGACAGTTGGCTCGAGATCAACGTATAATGCTCTTGGGACGTGCTTACCAGCACCTGTTTCGCTGAAGAAGGTATTGAAAGCGTCATGGCCGATACCCACCGACGTATCACTGCAGAAACAAAACGTTCAGAAAATTTAGAAAAACACGAATTTTAGATTATGGACGGCAGTTTAGTTTAGCGAATAAATACAAACTTCGTATGCTACTACTCATCCAGAGGAAAAAGATGGGAAAATATCGAATATCAAATACATAACATCAAAATCTAATAAAATGATGGAGCTGAAAATAATCAACGCCTTGAAATAAGAACGGAAAAGCAATGGATCCACTTATTCATGATTCTAAGAAGATCATTCTAATAATGATGGCTATAAGATGATATGAAACAGTAACAGTTAGAATTAGGGATCGCTGCACCAAATCAAATGCAAAATAATTACAAAATCAATGTCCAAAAAATTTTTCACAAAACATGTTTTAGGATAAGATGGTTTTGTTTCCACTTCTTTTGTAATGTGAAATCAGGTATTTGAGGAAGATTGAAGGCAAAGTTTAAAACTATTATTGATTTCTTCTAACCACGTCCAACCAAATATTGTAACATAATAAATTCATAACAGAAAAAAAACATTGTACAAGAATAGCTTCCACACATAGTTGAGAACACAAGATATAAAGAAAGCAAGAAATAACTGACCAATGGGACAAAATCTACATTCGAACTGACAAACACCCAATCCAAATCCCAATCCCAATCGTAATCCCAAAATATATTTTAAGAACTTAGTTTTGAAAGAAAAAAAGTATTAAAAATCACATAGAAATGAGGAAATCGCTAAAAAACTTACTTCGTTTATTCCCCCAATGGATTTTATACACAAATTTACTACAAAAATAACTAAAACTGCTGATCACCAAAAAAAAAATAATAATAAAATCCAAGACTTTCGTAGTCTGAAATGAGAAGGGAGCAATATATGGAACATATTTTCTCTTACTTAGCACATTAATCCATGGTCCCAATCAATCCTAATACCAAGACTAATGCTATAAATTTTTCCATCCCTAAGATACTTTTCAACATAAACCCCATAGCACATGTTCATCAATTCATAAGCAAGATACCCGTTCACCCAAATTAAAGAAAACACTGAATACAAATCTTACAGGCAGCGACTAATTAAATAGATCAAAGAAAATCCACAAGAATAACAAGAGCAAAAGCTAGTAGTAATCCACAGATAAAAGATAACAGCAATACTCCACATCACTCACCTCAAAGCCTCCAACCGATAATAAATTAAAAAAGCAGCAGCAAACAGTAGATTTTACCTTGGCATACAACTAACAAATGAACTAAATCCTTTAACAAGAAAGGAGGAACAATGGATTCGTAAACACAAGTACAAAGATCTGCCAAGTTAAATTAATCAATCTAAGATGAGTAGAGAACCAATAACACAATCGCAATCAATGAACAATGCACATTCACAAAAGAACAAAAAAGTATGGAGACAATTAGCATCAATCTTTTATTAATGCAGTAGTTTGGTAATTATTAAAATTTTACTTTATTTGGATTTAGAGCTCTAAGGATTTAATTGCCACCATAGCTCCTTCCAGAAATCTAAGGATTTAACTACCGCCATACCTCTTTTACAGACACATAGATCTTTGCTTGTCCCTGTATCTTTATCATGAATCATAGTTTTCCTTTCATTTACCGATAAAAAAGCGGTAGTTTTCTTTCAGTTCTCTATGATTCTTGCTCTCAATCAAGCTATTAAGTACAGAACACAAAAACTCACTGGCAACCAAACTCGGGATAGATCATACAGTGAAAAAATGTCAAAACACCAAAGATCCGGTATCCAGAAAAAAAGAACTAATGTTTACCTAACCCTAAAGTCCTCACCGACGAAATAGTAACGGACCGATTTCACTATGGCAAACAACTACAGAAATTTACCAAGCTAGTTTTCTTTCAGTTCTCTATGATTCTTGCTCTCAATCAAGCGATTAAGTGCAGAACACAAAAATTCACTCACGACAACCCAACTCGGGATAGATCATGCAGTGAAAAAATGTCAAAACGCCAAAGATCCGGTATCCAGAAAAAAAGAACTAATGTTTACCTGACCCTAAAGTCCTCACCGACGAAATAGTAACGGACGGATTTCACCATGGCAAACAACTACAGAAATTTACCAAGGTTCGCACCAAACCAACTGCAGCATATTTATTCCACATTCAAGTCTGAAAAACCAAATCCATATACTTCTATAGTAAAATCTCCCCAATTCACCCAAATGGTGAAAAGGACTCGAATATTCATAACCTGGGAATACCTTCCCTACATACTTACCAATGTGAAATCAAACAAGTCAACAACTAATTATACATTCACTCAAAAGTGAAAAATAAAGCACTAATTCTACTCGCAGCAACCTAATCCAAACCAGATCTGATAAAATCCACACCATGAACAAGATCAGAAAAAACTCCCCACTCACCAAACCATAAAGCCCCCCATAAACCAAAATTTAAACAATAAAAGAAACGCCAAAAGCAGTCCTCACCTCGGCATCATGCCATCGGGCTGGATCCCGTGCTCCAGGCAGTACAACTCCCAGCAAGCGTTGCCCACTTGAATCCCCGCCTGACCTATATGAATGCTGATGATTTCCCTCATCTTCCTCCTCCCTTCTCAATCCCAGAAACGAAACCCTAACGCCTTGTCCTTCGCGAGGAGAAGTAGAGGCCGAGGAATCGACCTCTGCGATGAGGAGAGAGAGAGAGAGCGCGCAAGCGAAGCGCCGATGAAGATCGAAACTGTTCGGCCGTCATTTTTAAAAGATCGGGAGAGGATAACTGCGCCTTTTTTTTTTAAATTAAATTAGTAAAATATTGTTTTTTTGAAATGATTAAAAATAGTTTAGTTGGTCTGTAGAGTCCGGAATGGGACCCGCCATCGTCGGCTCTCTTTTTTTAATTGACAGAAATACCCTCCGCTGAGCTGGATTTCAGTTCATGCGTAAAATCGCTTTTTTTTAATTTATATTAAAAAGCTAAGATGTTATAGTTAAGAAGAAAAATAATGAGGCATTTACAAAAATGCCCCTCGATTTATATTTATTTACATACCTAATATCTAAATTTTACTTTTTAAATACTTATAAACAAAGCATTTTAGAGGATGAACAATAAAACATCTATAGCCAAAAAAAGTGATAGTCCATGTCATCACGTATCGGACGGGCAAGATCAATTTGAAACAGACAGGTCAGA